TTTATTGTACTTCTCAAGGCAGCAACCAACACTCCTTTCCTTAGGCTGTTTCCTTTGCCTTGAATAATTATCAGTCAAAGTGCCATTCACCCTCCAATGTTCTACTCAAATATCACCTCCTCTGTGAACACATCCCTGAGCGCCACCCAACCATCTTATCCCATCACAATTAGTTATCCCTTTGTGCTGTATTAAAGCAAAAATCTTAAACAAGAGAACATGCATCCCTGAGTGTACATGAAAATTTTCCAAGTTCTTAATAAACACAGTTTTAAAAAAATCAATTTCAAGATTTACATCTTACGTATGTACTTTCTTAAAACTGATATTCCTGAGTACACCTGAAGACTACAAGTTTTTCTTTCCTATCATCCCTTTCATGATGGCTTTTCTCCCACTTCACGAAGGTAAGGCCTACTTATAACCCATCTTGAAGTTACTATGACACATTGCCCTGGAGTGCAAAGACTTCTGCAATCCCAAACAAGGGAAAGTTGTCAATTATGTGATTCTTTTTGCCCATATCTCTAATTGAATTTAAATAAAAAAGGAATGCTACTATATATTCTTTTCATTAACTTCTTCTTTAAAAGTTTTCTCTGTATCCTACCAAAAAAAAGGAATAAATTTCATTCTATCAGTAACTAATTATTTTTTCTTCCATAGGTATATAAACAAATTTTAAAAGCCTCACCCATCTCAATAAGAAATCACTATCCAAAAAGACTTTCCTTCTATGTTTGTTTATGAAAATTTGTAAAATATGTTTACTCTTTACCAATTCTTTACTCAAGGAACCATGAGGAATAATTCTTTTAAAAATATACAATTAGTAATATGAACAAGAAAAATCAAATATCAAATATAGCTCAAAGGAAGCATAGTTATATAAGGCATAACCATGGGTTCTCCCTTCTACCCCCATTTGATTTTTCGTTTATCTCATGAGATATATGTTTCTTCATCTGTATTTGCCTTTTTCCCTTCAGTCACAAAATTATCTAAAGAAAAATATATTCATATCTTCTGTATATAGGTAGGTGGGGGAGAAGATGAGCCAAGATTACTCCAGAAAAGAAGCTGGAAAAAAGAAAACATGAAGTAGATTGACATATTAATCCCCAGTTAATACAAAAAGAAAAGCGTATAATAGTTAAAATATAGCTATGTATTTGAAATGCTGGCATGCTTTCTAACACAATTTTCAGCATTTTAACTGTTAGGTAGGTTTGCACAGTACAAACTGGTGTGGTTAAGTGGCAATTATGTGGTCAATTAGGGCTTATAGATAATTCAGGAAAAGAAAAAACATTCTCCTTAGGTCTTCGGGTGTGAATTAGACATTTTGACAGTTTGGATACCTGACTGCACAGTTAGTGACCCGCCAACCCTCAGCTTCACTTTGCTTACATTTTTTTATTGCATTGAGGCACGTCAAATAAGGTCAAACAAAAGGTTAGAAGTAGTGGGTTTATTTATTCAATAAACATTTATTAACTTTTATTGTGGAGTATAAAGGAAACATACAGTTTCTGACCTTGAAAACTTCAGTCTGTGAGGATGTCATCCACTCATGTTGCTTCAAACACCCCATATCCACTGAGGACCCCCAAGACCCGGCCAGAGCTGTATTTCTGAATGTCCCCTGGGCATCACAAGAAGGTCCCACCACACAAGGTCTTACACAACCTTGAGTCGAACATATACACACACACAAAATATTCATTTTTTCCATGCACCCACTACGTACAAATATCTCCTTTCTGAATTCCTATTTATATTAGTGTCTTCATGAATCTAGTCTATTTTAATAGAAACTTAGGAGTTATTCTTGATTCCTTATTTGGATTTATCCAAAAGATCCAGAAAGTTCAAATCCTTTGATTTCTGCCTCTAAAATATTTCTTTAGCCCTTCTCTTTTTCCCCCACCAGCTCTAACCCAATCTATTAACTTCCTTCCTTGCCTCCATGCATTGACACTGCTCCTCTTCAACTCAACCACTGCTGCTGCTTCTCCAGAACTTCCACCTTCTCACACCCTTCATTTGCTGAATACTCTGCATTGGCTCCCGTTAGCCTACAGGTTAATGTCCAAACTCCTAAGCGGGTCATATAGGACCCATCATAACCCAACTCCACTCTCCTTTCCAGACATGACCACCTCCACTCCTACTCTGCCTGCCACCTGGCCCCCTCCATATACACACTCTGTTCCAGTCACACCAAAACACTTGCTGAACATGTCATGTGTTTTCACGTCTTTGAACACACTGTTCTCAAGTCCCAGAAGGCCCTTGTTTCATTTCTCTGTCAAAAGCCTTCTGATTCCTTCAGACTGAAGAAGCTTTCTCTGTACAGCCCCTCCTTGATAGCACAGGCCAAGTTCGATGTGAGCAGAGCACTTCATGCATATCTTTGTTATTAGCTACTTCTTTACATCCTTGCCCCCACTTTGAAGTATGAACATCCGTAGGGCTAGTGTCTGTCTAACTCTCTAACTCTATATATGTTTCCAGTACATAAAGTAGAATCTCAATAATCACTTGACAGATGGATAAACTTCTAGGCTCACTAAGACTTTAAGAAGAAATGACTGAAATGATATACATGACAACACTTCTCAATCAGAAAGAAAAGTTTTTCTGGTTTTGTGGACCTAATGTTCCCCTATTTCTGTATTGTTTAAGACGTGTCAGATTTTCTTTCACCGCTGCTCAGTCTTCACCACCTTGAGAAGGCTTACAAAGGTCGTAGTTAGTGGGATACACTTGAAGAATCTCGATGCTGAGGCAAGACTTTTGACTTTTGAAAGAAGTATAAATTATAGAATGATAATTAGAAGAGGAGAGAAAAAGACATGAAAGGTCTGGGAATCTGTAAACAATTACAGATACGATATATTTGTGGGCCTGATGGGGAGTAGAGATTAGTGGAGAGAGGCTCATACTAGAGTTCTCTTCAAATGGAACCCACGAGTTACCCAGTTCTAATGCGAACTCTGTGGTCTGGTTTGGAAGTGAGATAGAAAGAACAGATATGGATATGAGGAGGTGAGAATGGATAGAACCCATGCGGGGCTGTGTAGACCCAGTGTCAGACCTCAGGAGGAAGGTAGAGGGAGTTAGAGCTCTGAGGAAAACCTGTGCGGAAACTCAGATTGTTATGAAGTATACTAGTTTATACCTTATACCCGTCCTAGTCTGTATGTTTTCTTAGAAAGGAAGTTAATTAAAGCACGCTAACTATATTAGTTTTCTATTGCTGCGTAACAAATGATCACAAACTTAGTTACTTAAAACAACACCCATTTGTCAGCTCACAGCTCTGCAGATCCAAGTCTGGGTGGGCGTTCCTGGGTTCTTTGCTGAAGGTCTCGCACAACTGAAATCAAGGTGCCAGCCAGGCCTGGCGGGGCCCTTTACCTGGAAGCACCAGAGAATAATCTGCTTCAAGCTCATTCCAGTTACTGGCAGAATTCAGTTCCTTGTGGCTGTGGGACTGTGGTCCTTGTTTCCTTGTTATCAGCTAGCCAAGGATCACCCTCAGCTCCTAGAGGCCTCATGCAATTCTTATCAGCGGGCCCCTTTCTTCTTCAAAGCCAAAAGTGGAGAATTTCTCACAAGTAAAATCCCCCTCATGCTTCATTTTCTGCTCTGTCAGCAGCTGGAGAAACTCTCTGCTTTTTAAGGTCTCATTTGATGACATCAGGCCCATCTGTATAATCTCTTAAAGTCAAGGAGCCATCTAACAAGAACTAATTATGGGAGTAAAATCCACCATATTCATTTTTCCCAGGATCATGCAGGACGTGTCCACCAAGGGGCCATCTTATAACTCTGCCTACCACGCCAGCTATAGCTTTTTTTCTAAAAATGACAAAATTTAGTGGCAGAGTCACAGTCACCAAGATCCACTATGGTCAAGAATGGCCATTTGCTATTTGTGCATTCTAGGCTTTCTGTGGCAAATCTGGTTTGTACCAGCACTATTTCCATCAAACCCAATGCTTGAATTGTCCTATTCAATTGCAGAAAAGAGCAGTTAATAATTCTGAGTATATAAGGAAGGTGAAGACTTGATCCCTTCCCTGTATGTATCTCCTCCTG